AAAAAAAAAAAAAAAGATGATTTGCTGGTTTGAGGGAAATTCCTCCTGCTTCCATGGATTGGCTAAGCTAGCCAAGCTGGACATGTGGCCAGTACTCAATAAATGTTTGCTCACTGACTACCAGGCTCTGAGAGAGCCTGTGGTCCTGCTGCCATTTAACAGTCAGGGAAACTGAGGCACAGAGTAGGAAAGCGAGCCACTGGTCAGCTGTTTGACCCTGGCCGTATTTCCTCCCCCAAGCAGGGACAGGGTGGGTAGTGTATGGAGGAAAGGGGAAGACGGGCTGCTCTTGGTTGCTGGTATGTCTGGGGAGACAAGGGATCCCTGGATGGGGGGTACAGGACAGAAAATGGCTGTGTGATACCTACAGCCCTGTAACACCGTGGACATTCTGTCTCCACTAGCCGGGTACTAACTCTGCCTGGACCTGTATTGATATGTCATCCCCCTGGAACTTTACGGCACCCCAATTAGGAGGTTGCTATTATCAAGCCCAAGTTACAGAAGAGGAAACTGAGGCTTAGAGTGGTGAAGTGGCCTGTTCAAGGCCACACAGCCAGGAAGCTGTGGAGCTGGAGTTCAAAGCCAGGTCTCTTTGCTCTCAAAGGCTGGGCTCATTTACCATCATCCTACACGGCCCCCAATACCAGACAACTGGGGCAATCTGGGGAAAGATATCACTCAGACCTACAGTACAGCAGGCATGGGGCCAATGTGGATGTGTAAGGCTGCTTCCTCTCAGAGCACGAGGTCTGTTTGGAAGATGCAAATAAAGATACAGGTGAATGTAATATGGATGATACTCTCTGTATAAATGTTTTATTTCATTGCCACAGGATCGTGTGAGGGATGTTGTATTTGTCCCATTTTACTGATTGAAAAAATGAAGCTCGGGCTGGTCGAGTGGCGCGATGGTTAAGGGCTGGCTTGGGATGCCGGAGGGCCCCGGTTCGGATCCCGCATGTGAGGGCCGGTGACACTGCCCTCCGCAGCTGAGATGCTGAGCAGCAGCTCGGCCTGGAGCTGGGCTGCTGTGAGTCGCTGGCGACGATGGCGTGGGCTGCAGCCCCTGTGGCAATGAGTTGCCGTGGGCTGCCGTGTGTGGCCAGCGGTCAGCGTGAGCGGCCAGCAGCCGCGGTGAGTGGCCGTCCAGAGGCCAGCGACTGGTCTGCCTTGCCTGGGAGGAGCGCGGTGATGGTGCCAACTTGGTCCGGTGGGGCGACGTCCTCCACAACTAGACTGAGGACCAAGACGACAGCGGCTTGTCTGTTCCCCTTCCCCGGTTCCCCAGCACTGTTCCCATCACCCCAATTCCCCAATAAAAATCTTTAAAAAAAAAAAAATGAAGCTCAGAGAGGTGATGTGACTTGTCCAAGGTCATGCAGATGGGGTCTGAACTCAGGTTTGCCTGAGTTCAATGTCTTTGACTATGAAGTTGAAGGCTTCCAGTCCCTAAAAGTGCCTGGCCAAACCGCAGGCAACTGAGTTATAGACTGAGAGGGGACAAAAATCATAGCAGGGTCCCTGGAGGCACTATGGCTCAATCTTGACCTGAGGGACTCAACGGAGGCAAAAGATGGAGCCAGTGGAGGGAAGAGCTGCATTCCAGGTATGGGTCCGGCCCAAGCAAAGGCCTGATGGCAGGAGAGCACTTGTGTGTTCAGGGCTGCAGAGCCAAGCGTGAGCCAGGCCGGGCTGGCCTCCAGCACAGGCTGAGGAGGGCCTGTGGGACAGCCACCCACCAGCAGGTCCCCCAGCCACACTCCCAACGGCCACTCGAGGCAGCACAATGGAGGCTCTGAGCTAGGCAGAGCCGCCACACTGAGCCCCATTCATTCTCCCGGGGATGTGGCAATTGCCCTGGTACCCGGGCCAACGGCAGGGGCCCCAGCACTGACAAGGCACCTCCACCACACAATATAGGCTCGCTGTGGCCGGTACTCGCGGGTCTCACGCCATGCGCCTGATGCTGGGGTTTCCTGGCCTGAACCACCCCTATTCCTCAGCAATGACTGCCAAGGCTTGCTGAGGCCACAGTGTACATATGCTCCCTTCATCTTCCTCAGGAAGTGGGGGGTACTGTGACCAATTTCACAGATAAGGAAACAGACCCAGAGCTGTACAGTCTCTTATAAAGGATCACATAGTAAGTTGAGAGTGGGCCTGGCCCCGAAGTCAGTACTGGCTGATGCCACAGCCTCAGCATTTGGGCCAAGTCACTGGTACTGCCTCCTGGGAGGGAAGCCAGGAACCCACCGGGAAGACCCCAGCTACCACCAGGCCACAGGCCCCTCTCCCTCTTCCAACAACAACCTGGAGATGGGAGAGGCACCAGCCTGGGAGCTAGGACCTCTGGGTGTCTTGTCTAATCTCTGCTCCTCCTTAGTCTCAGTTTCCTCGTCTGTGAAATGGGACAATAGCAGGATTTGCCTCACAGCTCTGTTGTAAGGATTCATGGACGATCTGTGGAGGCTTCCAGCTCCATGCCTAGCTCATAGTTAATGCTCAGTAGAAGGAGCTGGAATTGTACCCCCCCCCTTCCTTTTTCTCCCAATTCTGTGGGAGAATTGAAACCTCATTTTTTCATTTGAACTTTGAACACTGGTCCCATCCAGCCTGTCTGTGAGCAGGACCCTGGTGCCTTGGTCTCATGGCCTGTGTGCCTTTCTCTCTCAAGGCCTCAGGTTCCCCCTCATCCCATCAAAGAGGTTCAGCCGGATCCTTCCCCCACCTAAGACCATCATCTAGCTGCCAGGGGGTTGCGGGAGCCATGGGCATGGACGTTAGGACCACAGCTGGACAAGCAGATTCAAACTCCAGATAACTTTTCCACATCTATGGAATGGGGATGTTTACCTCTTGGGGGCAGAAGGACAGAGCCCTGTAGCTGAAACATACTAAGTAGTCAGAAGACCTTAGTCATTATTATTTTTATGGAGGATACAGGAAGGACCCCATTTGACCTTGGACTCCCGCTCTCATAGCCATAGTTGCCAGTCCCAGGGCCCAGCGTAATAATGTCAAACTGTGCTGGAGCTTCTGTGGGTTGACTGTGTACCTTGCGCTTGTGCCCATTCTAGAGATTAGTGACTGAGGCTTCAGAGGTTCTACTAACTTGTCTGCAGCACACAGAGGTGGGGTTTGAAGCCCCTGGTCTTGTGGACCCCCAACCCCAGCAGCTGTTGACAGCCTCTGCAGGTGTCTGGGGTAATCTGTGTAGGGGAGGTCTCGTTTCCTCATCTCTGTCCTGCCCGTGGGAATGTACTCACACACACACACACACACACACACACGCACGCACGCATGCATTATAACATGGAAAAGTACCAGGCTGTGGGCTAAGGGACTCGGAAGGGCGAGTTGTAATCTAGTCTGTGCTACCAATCCTGTATGACCTGGGGTAATCCCTCTGCCTGTCTGTGCCTCAGTTTCCCCATCTCTGTACAATGGGTGTGATGGACCAAATTATCACCGTTTGTCCCTGGTAGCTTGAAAAGGAGTGACCATGCCTTGCTGGGCACCAGTTTTGTGCCAGACTTTGCACCAATCACTGGACAGTGTGAAGTGGACATTGCAAATACCCCTGCTCACAGAAAGGAAACGGAGCCTCAGGGAGGTGAGTACCCTAGTCCAGGATCACATGGTGACAAAGTGGCCGGCCAGGACTTGAACTTGGGTCTGGGTCTGAGTGGTTCCAGAGTCCACAGGCCTAACCACAGCACTCTTCTATCCACTGCTGTCAGTCCATCCCCGGGAAGGCGTAGAATAAACTGCCCTGTGTGCAGGCTTGACTCCCTGCACCCTCCCAGCCCAAGGGCCAAACCCCCTGACAGCTGTTGACAGGTCTCCAGGGGCCCCCAGCCCAGCGGGCTCCATTCCCAGAGCCTGTGGTTTGTTCCCCAGACCTTCCAGGTCCCATGGGCTTGTGGTCTGCCCCCTGCTCCCTCCGCCCACATTACTGTGGAGGCCAAGAAGGAGGCCCACCATACTGGGGGAGGCCCCAGCCCCCGCCCCCTGCAGAGAAGATGGGGAGGGTGGGGCTGTGGGAGTTTCACTGGTTTAAAAATACACAGAGGAAGCGAGTGAGAGGGTGCAAGAAAGGGGAACGGGAGGTGAGGGAGGCACCTCAACGTCGATGTCCAGAGCCTCGAGTGGCCACTTTCCCACAGGCCAGGGGCTTTGCACCACTTGCCAAGATGACAGAGGGGCCCAGGAAGGCCAGCAAAAAGTTCAGTGAGTGCACTGTCCTTCATCCCTCTGTCTGTCCATCTCAGCCTCTCTCTGCATTTGCTTCTTAATGACTCTGTCTTGTTTCTGTTTCTCTTTCTCTTCATGTTTGTCTCTATCTGGAGTTCTCTGCCTCTGGGTTTCCATGTCACCATCTCTCTGCCCCTCTGGCCCAGGCTCTATCTCTCTGGCTGGTTTGGCTCTCCATCTCATGCTTCTGTTGCCTCTGCTCTCCCCAGCCAGACTCAGTCTCTCCGTTTGTCTGTGTGTCCTGGTCTCTGGCTCTCTTTGACCTCACAGCTGGGTCAGGGAAGAACTCCACACACTCCACCCCCTGCTTCTGGGCCTGGTTCTCAGGGGGTCTCAGGTCGGGAGTTACTGGGGTGAGGCTGGTGTGTGTGTGTGTGTGTGTGTGTGTGTGTGTGTGTGTGCCATGGGATGCTGTCCCGTGTCCCCACCAGCAGTGATGCTGGGACCCACAGCAACTCAATGAAGTGCTACACCCACCCACTGCTGTTTGTCCAGGTCTGTCCCTTCCTGGTCCCAGCAAACTTCTGGTCCCCCTGGTTCTTTTGATCTGACGGGAACGGGTGTGTGTGTGTGTGTGTGTGTGTGTGTGTGTGTGTGTGTGTGTGAATGTGTGTGTGTGTGTGTGACTGCATTCCACAGATGAAAAGACTGAGGCCCAGAGAACTTCCTGAGATCATATGGGGCTATAGACCAGGGCTCAACTTCATGTCCCTGGACTCTGGGCCTCAGAGTTCCCTGCCCTGCTATTCTGTCCTCCAGATCCCCGGTGCCCAGGAGACAAGACAAGTGGTGCTTAGAAAGGAGGCAGTTTGTAGTTCTCTCTCTGGCTCTTGGCACAATTTCTGCCCCATGGCATAGCTTTCTGAGAGTAGAGCATTGGTGTTTTCTGACAGCGTTTGTCAGGAGGCAGGGGCTAAGACCAAGTGAGGGATGGGCAGGGCTGGGAGGAAAGCACTAACCCAGCAGTCCACAACCCTGGGCCCTCATCCACGCTCAGCCTTGCTGTGCGACCCTGGGCAGGACCCTTCTGCTCTCTGGGCCTCGGTTTCCTCTCTTGTCAAACGAGGACATCTTACCTATATCCCAGTGTGGCTGTAAAGACCTCCGAAGGCAGAGGATGCCAAGGAAGTGGAAAATGCCAGAGTTTGTTTTTGCTTTTTGCTTTTCTGGAGGCTTAGGGAAGTCGGGTGGTGGTGGCTGTGGGGAGGGGCAGGCCCATAGCTGGGGAGAGGAAGGAGGACATTTATATGCACCCCTTCGGAAACTAGGAGATGGTATCACCCAGAGCACTGCTGCCTGAGTCAGGATGGTAGGCTCAACTGACAGGAAGGAGAGAACCGCAGGGAGTGGGACCCTCAGGCTCCTGACAACCCCCTTCTCATCCATCCCCTGACCCAGGTGCTCAAACACCCACTCCCTGCCCCAACACACACACGCACGCACACGCATGCAGCTTCACCGGCTGGCTGTGTGACCTCGGCAGTTCATTTCCTATTTCTGAACCTCAGTTTCCTCATCTGGAAATTGGGGGACTAAACTTGGGTCATTGAGTGTACTGAGCATTCAGTGAGGTAACGTGTGCAGCATGTTTAACAAATGCAGAGGCGTTACTATGATTATCATCATTTTCATTACTTCTTGAGAGTATTCTGTGTCCTGGGTACCATGTGAAGAATGTTATTTACGTGTTTCCTTCAATCCTTCCACTGCCCATAGGAGGTGGGTACTATAATCCCTATTATATTGATGTGGAGAATGGGGCTCAGAGAAGTCAAGGGACTTGCCTAAGGTTGCACAGCTAGGATGTGGAAGAGCAGGGATTCAAACCCAGGGCTATGTGACTCCCAAGCTTCCTAGTTATACCATAATAATTAGAGGGACTGTCAGTGAGGCCTGACCATCTTTGAGCCCTCAATGAGTTAAACAGCATGTATTTTTAAAAATTGTTATTACTATTGCTACTGGCATTGTCATTAACTCTTTTCCCTCCTCTTCCCCCCTGCCAGAATTCTTCAAGTTCAAGGGCTTTGGGAGTCTCTCCAACCTCCCTCGGTCCTTCACTCTGAGACGGTCCTCGGCCCCCGTCAGTATCCGGTCCCATCTAAAGCCTGAAACTTTTGAGGCCACACAGGATGACATGGTGACAGTCCCCAAGAGCCCCCTGGCCTATGCCCGCTCCAGCGACATGTACAGCCACATGGGCACCATGCCTCGCCCCAGCATCAAGAAGGCTGGTGATCGAAAGGCTACCCAGAAGGCCCAGGAGGTGGGCCCTGGCCCCAACTTAGTGTCCCGAGGTCTGCCCGATCCCCCAGGCTTGGAGGCAGCCAAGGAGGTGGTGGTGGAAACCAAGGTCCCCTTGGAGGACACCCCAGCAGTGGGAACCAACCCCTCAGCAATGGAGGTGGGCTCCATGAAAAAGCCTGAAGACCCCAGGACAAATACAGAAGAGGAGAGTGCACCCAGGAACGTGTTCCCAGAAAGGTAGGTGCCACCAGCAGAGGGCAAGGGCGGAACTTGCAGGGATGGTGTCTCTAGTCTCCTGCCAATATAGCCTGGAGAGGACCCCCTAACACATACATCTGGGTAAACAAACGAACAAATAAACACCTAGGCCTTAGCCAAGTGCTTATTATAGACCAGGCAATGTGCTTAGCCATTCACTTGCAATGAATTCTCAAGGAAATAATAAATAAATAAATAAATAAATAAATAAATAGCTGGGGAGAAAAAACTGTTATTTCCATATGAGGAAACTGGGATTCAGAGAGAGAAAGTCATCTGTCCCTGTCAGGTTGCACGTCTAGCAAATGACAACATTAGGATTTGAACTAAGATCCACTTGACTCCAATGCCTTAGGCAGCCTCTAGCATGGGCCCTTGGAGCTGCTGCCTGAGCCCCCACACCCAAATCACCACCCTTAGTTCTGCTGGACAACACTGCTTCATCAGGTCTAGAAAACCATTTGTCACTTAACGTGCTTATAGGGCGAGTTGAGTTCATGGAAAAATACAAATGGTGATGATACAGTCATAGCTCCCCTTTAGTAAGCACCCATTTTCCTAGATGTCAAAACTCACTGAAAATTCTGTAAAATAACCTGTGATCAGCCTCCTTGTACAAATGGAGAAACTGAGACGCGGCCAAGGTGTCAGAGCTGTGATTGAAGCAGGAAACTGCTTGCCTCCACGGGCTGTACACTCATCCATTCCACTGTACCCATCACCTTCTGATTCCTACAGCCGTGTGCTTGATGCCCTTGGGAAACCCCTCAACCCCAATTAAAGGAGCCTGTTCAGCCCTCAGTCTTTGTGTAAACCACACTGATCAGGTGTGCCTATTGAAATAAAGAGAAAAAAAAACCTAGCTGAACAAAGGTAACTCTAGGGCTGGTGCTGGGCCCTTTCTTGCGTGGCTCTGTCCTGAGACACAAACACAGCTTCTGTGTGCAGAGGTAATTGAATCTAGACCCCTGCCCTTCGTTAAGGAGCAGGACCTTGTAAAGCTGCAGAGTGAATCCAGTCCAGACTGTGCCTCGTGCTGACTGAGTACTCTTGGACAAGTCTGTTCCTTTCTCTGAACCTTAGCTTCTTTAACTGATAAATAGGTATAACAATAGCACAGACCTTGTATAGTTGTGGTGAGAATTCAATAGCATACTTGTAAAATCTTAGCACAATGCTTGGCACACCACGAACACTAAGGAAATGGGAAAGCTTACGTTTATGATTAATAAAACTTAATGCTTTCTGCCATCCCTCACTTCCCCACCATCCGGGATGCCCTGCCATTCCCTCCTAAATTCGGCCTCATTCGGGCGTGGAGGAGCAAGGACTGTATGTAGAGGAGAGGGCCTGCTAGGTTCTGGGGCGTTCTGAGGTACCCCAAAGTCTGAGATGTACATTGAGAGTTTGAGGGAGCGGGGCGGGGCGGGTGGAGGGGTGTGTCGAGGGCCGTGTTTTCTAGTTTCGGGAAACTGACAGGGAGAGGGCGGAGCGAGACAGGAGGCGGAGGGGCGTGTCCCAGGCGGGGCGAGTCCTTCCCAGAGGGTGGGGCGGCGCCCGATAGAGGGCGGAGGGGCGTGTCAGGGGCGAGGCTTACTCCCCAGGCTCCGCCCCCCGGAGTTCTGCTCTGAGCTCCGCTGCTCGGTGGCCTGAGAAAGGCGGGAGCCGTTGGGCTGAGGAGGTCCTCAGGCTGCAGGCGGTGACCGCGGGAAACCATGACTGCAGTGGGCCGAAGGTACCCAGCATTGGGACCCAGAGGGTGAGTGACCGAGCTGGGCCAGGGAGGGCTAAGGGAGACCTTGGTGACCTGACGGAGAAATCCGTGCCCCTGGGACAACTGACAAACCAGGGGTGCTGGTTTATCATAAAGGACTTTTAAAATGTATTGTGCTGTGACTCCGTCCAGTTCTGTCCCGGCGCAGCCTGAGCATTTACTCCTCACAACAGCCCCAGGAGAGAGGCCCTATTATCATTTCCATTTTACAGATGAAGAAAGAGCTTTGCTTGCCTGGTTTGACACAGCAAAGCTCAGACCCAGCTTTTAATTCCACCTCCCTGGCCTGTGTCTTTAAAGGATGGACAAGTCATTCCCTCCCGCAGAGCCAGGGCCTCTGAGAACGATGCTCTCGAGAAACCTTGAGATGCCAAGTCTAGGACCTAGCCTTCCTCCACGGTGGGCAGGGGCCCTGGTGGTCTTAGCAGTGTCTCTGGCATCAGGCGTGGCCCTAAAGCTGTCGGAGGAAATAGACTCTCCCCCCATCCCCTAGTTATCTGGAGTGTCCAGGGGTCCTGGGGGGCAGGGGTTAGCAGGTCAGACTGAGCTCCCTCCTGGTGCTCTGGGACCTTGTGTCCCGCTGTGTCCCGCCTGCCCTCCAGGAAGCCAGAATTGTCGAATACTTCCAGGAGCCCCTGAAGCCTAGCCTTGTGCCCTGGAGTTAGGAGAGCTGCTTCGCCTGTGTGAGCTCTGGCTTGCCCTGCCTGACTCTGGGCCTCAGTCTCCCCAGCAGCCCAGATGGGTCTGGGATGGTTTCTGAGGATCCGTCCAGCTCGGGAGGAGGGCATTTGAGAACTGCGGCTGAGCAAGACCGGTGGCCTCATTCCCAAGGGAATTGATTCCAAGGCGGTGGTTTCAGTGTCTGCTCAGGGAGCAGCCTAAGCTGATTGTCTCTCCCCTACTCCCTGGGAGGCAGGGTGCACCTGGAGCAGAAGGGAGGAAGGGGAAGAGGTGAGGCTGCAGGAGTTTCCTGGTACCCTGTTCCCTGCTGAGATCATGGGGATGAGGAGGAAGAAGGGGGGAGGGGCCAACCACACAGGGAATGAAGGGAGAGTGGCAGCCTGGCCTGGCCTCGCCCTCGCCCCCAGCACCCTCAGCCTTCTGCAGGGAAATAGCTGGCCCAGAGATGCCTGACACCCTCCCCTCGCAGTCCGTGTTACAGAGGAGGAAGCAGAGGCCCTTAGGGAAACGGAGGCTCCCAACACCCCCCACCGTCACCCACACAGGAATTGTCAGGCCCGGGTCCTGCCAGGAGTAATCAAGATCCGGCTCACAACTGGCCGGGCACTGTCTACCACAGGGCCCTATTTGCAGCATCATACCAGAGAGGAGACTGAGGTTCAGAGGGGAAGGAACTTTCCTGGGGTCACAGACAGATTAAGTGTCAGAGTCTAGATTTGATCCCAGACCTGACCAACTCCCAAGCCCAAATTCTTAACCACTAGGCCCATTTCAAGTAAAAGCTGAATGCTGTTTCTACTATTATTTCAAATGACTTTCCATAACCCCCCCGGAGAGAGGTATTAGGTGCCTGGTTTACAGATGAAGACACTGAGGTTTTGTGAGGTTAATAACTTGCATGAGGTCACACAGTCATTTTAATATTTGCTGAGATGTAACTATGCCCTAGACACTGTTCTAGGTCCTGGAGAAACAGCAGTGAGGACAGCAGACAAAGCCTTGCTCTCATGGACCCCATTCCACCGTGGGGGAGACAGATGATTAATAAGATATGATCAGCTAGAAGAGAAAAGCGCTATGAAGAAAGATTTAAACCAAGTTGGGAAATAGGTTAGCCAGGAAAAAAGTCTTAGCAAGAAAGTGATGTTTGAACAAAGAAAATGAGGAAACAATCCCTTTTGCTATCTGGGGAAGAGTGTACCAAGGGAGCAGCATGCACAAAGGTGCCGAGGTGGGAACAGTCCTTGGCGTATTTGAGGTGTAGCAAAGACCTGAGTGGCTGGAGCAGAACAAGATGGGGGGCTGGGAGAAAGGAGTGGTAGGAGACAGGCCAGAGAGGAAATGGGTTCAGATAATAGAAGGCCTGGAAGGCCCTGCAAGGACCTGGCTTTGACTCTAAGCAACCATTGCTGGCCTTGAGCAGAGGAGGGCCCCACTCTGCCTTATGTTTTACCAGGACCTCTCCTTTGAGGAGGATTTGAATGCAGTTCTACTCATTCTAAAGTGTCTCACCCAAGCATCCTTTTCTCCTACCCCGAGACCCAGGCCCCTCTCTCCCACTCTCTGGGCTGTTCAGAAGGAAACTGAGACTTGGAGAAGGTGGTACCCCATAGGAGAGCCGGGGGCACCCTGGGTTGCCCATGCCCCAGTCTTGGTACCAGGCACTGAGAACAAGCCAAGACACCCCCCCCCCTCTTTCCTTCTGGAATGTTGATTCTGGTCCAAGAATTCCCAGTGCTCCCCAGAGTCCCACGACCCTCTCGGCCCTGCAGAATGACGTCAGCTGCCGGGCATCTGGTAGTGATTACCCACCAGGGGAGGGGGCTGTGGTGGGCCCAGCCTGTTCGGCCTGCTCGGGCTCTGGGCGGCTGGTCCTTGTCTTCCGAAGGGGCCCAGCTGCTCCTGGCTCTCATTTCCTGTGGAGACTTTCTCACAGTCCTCGAGACCCCCGGACGCCTCAGGCTGTGGGAACTGCGCTGGCTGGGGAAAGATGGACAGCCCCTGTACCCTAACTGGAGCCTCATCCCCTCAAAGCCTCAAGAGATCTTGTTTGCAGAATGTTGGATATATATGGGGTGAGGGTTGGTGAGGACAGGGGTCAGACATATCAGCAGCTCAGAGCCCCGCTGACTATCTGTACAACCTTGAGCAACTCCATTCCCCTCACTGAGCCTCAGTTTCCCCATCTGTAAATTGGGGACAATAACAGCATCTGCTTCACAGGGTTGTTGTGAGGATTGGATGAGATATGGCAGGTAGAGCATTTATCCTGGACTTGATCTAAGGAAGTACCAGTACACAGGAGCCACTCATGCTACTGCCACGCCCATGTTATAGGAGAGGAAACTGAGGCCCAGCGAGGAGGACTTGCCCAGGGTCACACAGCTTTCTCCCTCTCCAGAGCCCCAGAGGGTCTTCTCTCTGTCCATCTCCACTCCATTTTCTCTTCCTGACCAGTTCTGGGCTCCTGGCCTGCTTGAAATATTATTTTTCTTTGCCATCTCCTCCCCACCTTCTTCTTCTCTCCACCCAGGAGCAGTCTCCATTTTCCTGGGGAGACCGTCTCATGCAAGGAACAGAGCAGAGCCAACCCAGACCTAGTCTGTGCAGCTATATGTCCTGGGTCAAGTCACAAGCTTCAGTTTTCTCAGATTTTGAGTCTCAGTTAGCAGCTCCTCAGCTCTGCCCCGGGAAGGGCGGCCCCGCCCCGCCCTCGCTGCACAGGGCTAGCACCCTTTCTGAGCGCCTGCTGGGGAGCTCACCCCTGTCAAGAAGACCAAGGGTGCAGAAGGGTGAACCGGGAGCAGGGATGTCTCCAGGTCAGCGGTGGCCCATCTGAGAGGTGATGGGGCTAAAGCCAAGAGCATTCCTGGCAGGAAATCCCAAAGGCCCCATGGTGGGGTGTCCTCAGAGAGATGGGGCTTTCGGCCCCAGATCTCTCTCTGTCCAGGGCCTTTAAGGACTGAGGCGCACAGAGCTGCGTTGCTTCCCTGCTAGGGGCGAGTGAAGATCAGAGTGAAGGAAGGAAAGACTCGTCAGCCCGCCAGCAGGGGCAGGACAGGAGGTCTCCAGGGGTGGGCTGGGGCAGAGAGAGGAGCCACACGGGCTAGGGAACCTAGCACCCTTCCCTCTCAGGATCCTCATGGTCCCTCTGGGAAGACAGTGATCATGTGTCTATTTCACATACGAGGAAGTTGAACCTCAGAGAGGGGAAGCGAGGGAAAAGCCAAAGTAGCAGCAGGCAGAGGTTGAGGAAGCTTCCATTCAAGGCCATATGACCAGGCCCCGGGGCCCAAGGGAACAAACTGGGGGACAGATAGAGGGCGACAGGCAGTAGGCCTCTGCTGAGGGCAAAGCTGCCTGTGGGGAGGGAAAGCCGGGACAGAACAGAATGGCATCCTGACTCCTTCAGGGTCCCTGGGGAAGCCCCACCCTGTCTTCTGGGCCAGGATGGAGGCCCTGAAGGTGAAGTTCAGATTTAAACCTGCATTGGGGAAATAAAAGATAATGGGCTCTAATTACTGCTCATTAATCCAATTAATTAAGCTAATATATGCAATAAGTGGTATCAGTTATCAGAACAAATCAGTTAATACAGGCAATTAAAGGGGTTGGTTATTAAATAATTAATGTGGCTGATTAATGTGTCTGGTTTAGCAGAATTGTCACTATTATTTATTAATTGATTTCACCACTAACATTAGAGGGGATGTGCCCTTTTAAGCCCATAAAATAAGGAATAAGTTGATAAATGAATGGAACTGAGTTTTTAGAAATAGAAGCTTTGATTCCTGGATTTGATCACTACAACAGGAGAGAGAATGTTCTAGAAACCTCCAAGCAAACTGAGATTTGAAGTCTAAGTTGGAATTAGTATGACCCTAAGGGAAAGAGGAGGTTCTAGGTAGAGGGAACAACATGTGCAAAGGCCCTGAGGTTGGAGGGAGCTGCACTCCTTGGAGGAAGTGTGAAGTGGCCAGAGTGCAAGAAAGAGTTAAGAGAGAAGAGGGGTGGCTAGCAGAGGCCTGGTCACAGAGGGCTGAGCCACCATGAGGAGAAGACTTTATCCTCAGGGTTGCAGGAGCTGCTGTGACATTCGTTCAACAAAATCTTTATGGGGTACCTGGCACTGCTCTAGGCAGATCCCAGTCCCCTTTTAGCCCCTACCCTGCCCTACCACCTGCCCCTGTGGAGCTGACGTTCTAGTGAGAAGAGACTGTCAGTGCTTGAGATAGGATACATGGTAAGTCAGAAGAAGTGCTATGGAGAAAAACTAATCAGGGAAAGGAGGTGGGGAGCCTTGAGAAGATCACACTTTTAGGAGGGTAGCTAGGGACGTCCTCACTGAGAAGGGAACATTTTCATAACGACCTAAAGAAGGGAAGGGAGGGAGCTCAATGGATGTCTGGAGGAAAAGTATTCCAGCAGAGGGAACAGAAAGTGCAAAGGCCCTGAGGTGAGGACAAAAGCCAGCAAGAAGCCCAGCTTGGCTGGAGCAGCGCAGTCAGACATGGCGTGGGAGAGGTGGTAAGGCTGTGAAAGCTGTTATGAGGAGGACTTTGTTCTCACTCTGAGTGAAATGGGACTACTCTATTGGGTTGGAGCAGAAAAAAAGCCATGATCTAACTTTCATTTTAATAGGACTGCTTGGGCTGCTGAGGTAAAGAATAAGTCACAGGGGCACAGATGGAGGCCAGTGACGAGGTGATGGCGATAGTCTGGGCATGTGATGGCAGTGGGTGTAAGCAGACACGGTCACCTTATGTCTTGGAAATCCTAGAGTGTTGTAGAGGGGCAGGCGATGGGGGCTGCCCCAGCCCTCAGCTTTCTAGGCCTCTGCCCTGAGCACCCCCATTGGCCCTGGCCACCCCACCCCACCTGATCCCTGGTGCAGCCACCCCCCTCCCCAAGGCTCTGCTCCTGCCCAGAGCCTGAAGGGAAGTGGACAGGAAGCAGGAGGAAGTGCTGGGACGATCCCAGTGTCCTGGCCAATCTGTTCCCAGCAGTGGAAGGATTTCCGGGCCTGAATGGCCGGAAATGCTGGGATGGGACACCTCACCCAGGAAGAGCAGGGCCGGTGAGCAGGGCAGGGGTCCCTACCCCACCTCACTATCACTGCTGGACAGAGAGAACCCGAGTGGCTTGGGGAGCCTGCTGTGGCCGAGCTGCAGCTTGAGGGACTATAGTTAGAGGTCAGGAAGGACTTTGAAGGAGGGAAGGTTAGCAACGGGGACTCTAGAATGTCACAACAGCGGGGGCTGTCAGACTGCTTTGCAATGAGGAGCCCCTGGCCTCAGGAGCTGGGGACACCCAGTATGAAATTTTGCCCTGGGAATATACACTTTAACCACAATAATTTTTTTTTTGGCTCAGCATTTTAAAAAATTGATTTTATTAAATTTATTAAATCTGAATTTAAATATTGCATTCCTGTATGAGAGGAAGCAGTTCCCCGATGTTCGACCTTCCTCCCCATTTTGCAGATGGGAATACTGAGGTCTGTCCCAACCAGAGAACCAGGGCCCAGCCAGACAGAATGAATAATAATGATAGTGATTAACTATCATTAATAGTGGTTGAGTGTTTGCTATTCATGCATTCCTTATTCCTTGAGCTCCTATGAGGTGCCAGGCACTGTGCTGGGGGCTGGGGTTTCAACAATGAATAAGACAAAGTCAGTGTCCTTGTGGAGACGTGAGGTAATTATCAGTCAACAGATACATGAGTAGTGATTGTCTTGGGCGGGCGGGGATTGATGCTGTGGGGAAAAGGAGGGCAGAAGGAATAGCAAGTGCAAAGGGCCTGTGGCAAGAATGGGTTGGGCAAGGAGGCCAAGGAGGCAGAATGAGGGTCAGAATGAGTGAGAGAGGCAAATGGGAGGGTTGGCGAGGTGGGCAGTTGGGCACCACCAGGCCACACAGGGCCCTATAAGTTGGGGAATATATGACCCAGTTTATGCCTGTTTTGCTGGCACAATAATGGCTCCCTCTTTACTCCCACAAGGGAAGAAGCATTCTGGTTTGGATGCTAAATGGCACGGCCAGCCGCCTGCAGGCCGTGGAGAAGGGTTTAGATTTTGTTCCTTGAGAGATGGGAGGGTTGCAGGGAGGGGAGTGTGTGCCTGATCTGCTTAGGTCTTCACCTTAGTGCCGTCTGGTGGTGGAGCAGAAGCTGACCAAGGGGTGTGGGAATGAGCCAGTGACAGGGCTGCTGGGAGCTCTAGGAGGCCACAGAGGGTGGCCCACGTGGGGCAGAGTGGACACATGGCGAGAAGTGGTCAGGACCTATTTTGAAAGTAGAGCCGCAGGATTTCCTGATGGATTGGGTGTGGAGTGTGAGAGAGGAGGCACAGATGACCACAGATTCTTGGCCAAACAAAGCAACAAGAAGGATGAAACGGACATTAACTGAGATGGGAAGTGGGTGTGGGGAGCAGGGGCATGGTAGGGGAGGTCCAACAGTCCTGCTTTGGCTATGACAAGTTCAAGATGACCTCAGACATCCAAGAGGAGATGGCAAGGAGGCAGCTGGGTTTGTGAGTCTGGTATTGAAGCGGGAGGTCCAGGATGCATCAGAGGTAGAATGGCATTTAAGGCCAAGAACTGGGGGAAATGACTCATGGTGGCCTTTACGAGGAAGGATGCTATTTGCTTGGCACCAGGGAAAAACAGCCACCCTGGCCTCTGACTTCTTCAGGCTCCATGCCAGCTACCCCAAAGGCAGAGGGGATCAATCCCTCAGCCAACTTGTCACCAGCAGTGGCACCACAGTGTGCTAGGCAGCTGCTGACTGGGTCACTCTGCCCGAGGGAGTGAGTGTAGGGCAGGAGAGCCTGGGGCCTCTGCTCAAGTAAGGACGGGGTAGGGAGAGAGCACCAGGCGAGGGCGGTGTCCCGCGGCTGAGGGAAGACGGCGTCAGGAAGCAGGCCCCGTGTTAAGCACAGGTCATTCATCAGCTTCTTGAGTCTTCACAACATCCCGAAGAGGCAGAGGCTGTCACTGTTCCCGATTAACAGATAGGAAGCCCAGGCTCAGAGAAGTGAAGGGACTTGCCCAGAGTCCCACAGCTGGAGACTGGAAGAGCAGCCTGGCAGATTCCAGCGAGTGCTGTGAGCTGCAGTGCCCCCTCCTGCCTTCAGGATGAGCCCTCTGGGGCTCCGAGGGCCAGGTGCTGGCACCAGGCAGGTGGGTGGGGGCTGGCAGCGGGGGAGCCACGCAGGGCTGGGCCACTCACCTCTCTTCTCTCCTTCCAGAGCTGCTGGAGAGCCGGAGGCGGGCGGGGACTACGTGAAGGTAAGAAGGGCTTCGCAGGGAACGCTGGAGGGCCCGGGGCTTGTTCCATGAAGGGCAGAATCCCTTTCTGAGCCTTGTTAGGAGCCAGGTCTCACTGTCGGTCCCCAGGAGAAGAGGGTCTAGGGGTTAGGGCAGCGCTTGGGGTCCGGTTTCATTCCCAGCATCATCTTCCCACGTCATTCTCTCCTGGCCCCACTCTCAGGACATCCCAAGGCTTGTTACCAGCAGACCCCACCCCCCCTTCCAGCTGGACAGGGCCTGAAGGGTGTCTCTATGCAGAGACCATGGCGCTTTAATCCCACCGAGTCTCCGAGCATGTGCTGGTGCTGGGAGGTGGGAGCAAGAAAGGATGACTCAGTTCTTCATCACCGATAGTGGGCACAGCTCACCTTTATCACAAGCTTAGTCTATCCTGGGCTCTGGGAATGTTGAAAATGTAGATTTGAAATAATGATAACAATAATACGACATAACATTGTGGGTGCCTACTGTGTGCAGAGCCCTGTGCTGGCTGCTGGCACCTCTTTACACGAATGAGGTCTTTGACTTCTTCCCTCATCACTGGGCAGTGAAGGCCTTCCTGTGCCCACTTACAGATGGGAAACTTGAGGCCCAGAGAAGTGCAGTGACTTGCTCACAGCCACTCAGCTACTATGGGGGGAGCTGGGGGCAGTCCAAGTTTACTTGATGCCAAGACCATGGACCAAGCCCTTGGCTGTCCACCTCCAGGAGCGCCCGCCCTGAGCTAGGCCTTCTGCTGAGTATGGAACATACAGCAGAGGGCGAGGAGCCACCAGGCCCTGTGTTCAAAGGGCTCCCGGTCCATGTGGGGACTAGGGCAGAATCACACAATGGTTTAGGCTTGGGTTTTGTAATTCAGCAGGTCCTAATTTTTGTCCTAGATCTGCCACTTATGTGCCACATGACTTTGGGGGGGGGGTGTCACCTCTCTGAGCCTCGGTGTTCACCTATGTGAAATGGGGTAATAGCAGCACCTCCAACCCAGGGCTGCTATGGGCTCCATGAGTCCAGGGGGAGCTGGTTCTGGAACAGAGCAGGCTGGCCTGGCTCTAGACCCCAGGAACATTCTATCACCTGCCCGTAAAGTTCTGTGTAAGTGTCTAGTGATGAGGCAGCATGGGAAGTGCTCAGATTGCTGTACCCCATCATCACTAGAAGGCTCATGTAAGAAGCCATTGGAACTCTAGAAGTAGGGGATGGCTTTTAGCTAAGGAGCTGGGGAGGGGGCGATCAAGGAAGGCTTTCTGGAGGTGGAAGCACTGGATCCAAGCCATTGCAGTTGACCAGGAATATTCACCAACATCCTCTCCCCATGTCTGGAAAGGAGACAAAGATAAAGAGAGATGGGTAGTAAAGTGGTCCAGGCAGTGGCAAGAGTGTGGCCAAGGTTAGAGAGCCAGCTGGATGAGCCCAGGACGTGCAGCCCAGGGCTGTGGCAAGTGGAGCGGGAGCTGCCCTTGGAGCCTAGGCCCCGGCTCCTTATCCAGATCTTTATACCACAGGGGGACAGGGGCCTCGGAGAACCAGCGCCAAAGCCAGTGGGTAAAACACACGGGGGACACCCCACAAAACCCAGTTGTCTGGCAAGATACTGAGATCCCGTCACTGATGGTAGTGAGATCCCTTTGAGGATTATTAGATTTGTGTTTTTTCTTTAGTTTATGGGGCTAAAAATGCAATTAAAATATTATAAAATAAATAATACCTGCTCACTGGAACTGATTAAACAACCCCCTAAAGGATGAAGTCAAAGGAATGTTAGTTTTAGCTTCAAGCCTCAGAGGGGGGTGGAGTCAATAGTCACGTTCCAAAAGTCCATTCCTGCCCTGAGGTATTCAACTCCCAGAACTCCAGGATTCTCAGATCCTGATGTGAACACTTTCATTCTAAGGCAAGGATTTGAAAGTTCCAACACCATAAGTTCCAAGCTCCATGCTCAGAGCTTTGGATGTATTCACAGAAAACAAGCAAACATACAACTGAGGCCCAGAGAGGTGGATTCACCCACCTGAGGTCACACAGCCTGTCAAAAGGATTTGAACCCCAGAACTGACTGATGCAGAATCAGCAATCACTCCCTTCTCATTGAAGCGTCTATGATTCTCTGACAAAAAGTCCAGATTCTAATACCCTAAGCTTGACAATAATTGCATGCATTTATTGAGCACTTAACTTTACGCCTGGAAATTTACAAGCATCAGCTCTGCCAATTCTCACAAGAGACCTGTGAGGTCAGCACAGGTATGTTTGGTGCTGACCTCAGTAGAAGAGGTTGGTGGGGTGGAGGTGGAGACACTAGTAGAACCCAGGTTGGTGCTCTAACCATTGAGCCTTACTGACTCTCTGCAACCCCAGAGGCTATCAGTTGAACATCCCGCGATTCTCAACAGAGTCCCTGGTTCCAAATCAGAGATGAGAAATCCTGGGCTCTGGGAGATTTCCTGAGGCCACAAAGGATTTGGTCAAACGCATACGTACAGGGATTTTTCCAGCTTTAGATAGGATTTAATTCAAAGTCTCTGCCCGCTCCGGGTCAGTCAGGGGTGCGGCGAGTGGGGAAGGTAGGACGCCCCTCGCCGGCCAAGGGGTCCCGACCCCATCCCGCTGCCCCCTGTGACGCTCCCCTTGGCAGGTCCTCTTTTCCGCATCCCCCTACTCCAGGCAACCCCGGCGCGCGGGCTGGAGCGCGGGAGGGCGGGGGTCCGGGGGCGAGGGGCGGGCGGAGGGAGGAACAATGGCCCCCTCCCCTCCCCTGGCTGGCTGGAGGGTGGGGTCTCCCCGCCCCGCCTCCCTGCTCCTCCCCCGACAAGGCGATGAGGTAATCGCGCCGCCGAGAGGCACGCGCAGCCGGTGCTCTGCCCGGTCGGTCCCCGCGCCCCTGCCCCGCCGGCCGCCGCCCCCCGCACTGCCCCGTCCCCGGCCGCCGGTCCCCACCATGACCGAGCGCTGCAGCCTGTGGAGCGCCCTGTCGGCCGCCGCCTGCTGCTTCTACCGTGGCTCCTTCGTGCAGGTGCAGGTGAGGGGGCGGCTCGGCTCCCGCCAGGCGCTCCGGGCTGGGACCCCCGGCCGCTCCGTCCCGGGTCCGGGAGCCGGGAGCCGCAGCCCGGTGACGCCGCGCAGGGTCTGGCTGGTCAGGGGCTGCGGGCTGCGGGAGGGGGCGGGGTCGCCCCAGCCTCACCTCTGGGCGCCTGACGCTCCTCGGGGTGAGGGTCCAGCTGCCACTCCTGGGACTCGGGGCTGCGGGGGCTGCCGTCCTGGTCCTGTCTTCAGCAGGAGGGAGCTGAGCTGGGGCTTTGGGTACCGGGAGATGAGGTCCCCGGCGTCCCGTCAGTCCTCCAGCGAGCACTCCGGCTCCTGCGGCTGACCCGGGCAGCCTGGCTCCCCATTGTACCGGGGGCGCTGGGCCGGGGTCAGAAAGCTGAGTGAGGGGGGAGGAAGCTGAGAGGATGCTGCGGGTGCCCGGGGTTGGGACCAGAGCGCCTGCCGCCTTCCTGCCCTCTAGGTGAGCTGGGGCATGTTCAGGGCGCGGGTCTCTTAGCCCCGCTTGCCGGGGCAGTGCGGGACGACGCCGTGGCAGTGAAAGGGTTAAACGGAAGGGGGTGGAGGGGAGGACCCGGTCCCCGCCTCTCTGCGGAGCATCGTCTGGGGATGGCTTTGCTTGGGGTTTCTTGACTAGAAGAACTAGAGGGGGCTTGCTGGGCGCGGGCTGGTAGGAAGGGATTTTGACCCTGACCAGGGGTCTCCGCGCTTTTGCCTCCCGAGTCCCTGGGGAACGCCGGGCGCGTCACCTCTGCGCTCCCCTCGGCTCACACACACATACACGCCCGTAGCCCGCCTGAATGACGGCCGCGCCGGCGGTGGAGCGCAGCATCCCTGCACCGGCCAATCAGGGCGCAGGCTGGGAGGCGGTGAGATCATCTCTGGCCAATAGCAGTGCGCTGAGCTCAGGATGCTGCATTCGTGCCCCAGCCCTCCCCCTCCTGGGAGCTGGGGACCCCCCCCCCGGGTCGAGGGTGAGGTGGAGGGCACAGGGACCCTAGGGCTCCCCACCCTCGGGTGTGTGGGAGGACCACGTTGATCTCCCCAGATTCTCCAGACCACTGATTATGGCTGGAAAAGTGGAGCCTAGTCTTCCCACCCCCCATTTACAGATTAGGCTATCCAGGCCCAGAGAGGGAAAGTGACAGATTCAAGTCCACACAGTGGCAGGCAGAGTCTTGAGGTCAGGTTGTTTACCACACAGCCCCCTCCCTTTCTTTGACCCGTGTTCCTCTTGCGCCAGCTATGGTACTGGCGCAAGTTCTCAACTGCTCTTTGTCAAGGAGAAGGACCCCAGAAGGCTGGCATCTTCCTCCCTCCTCAGGGTGCGGTATGGTATAAGGTCAGGGGCCCTGGAGAACAAGCAGGCCGATGGAGAAAGGCAGGTTTCGTGAGGGCTCACATCTCTGCACAGCCCTGGGCCTCCCTGCCCTTCCCAGTTGTCACTTTCTACCCTGGGCAGAGGGTGTGCAGAATCCCCATCAGCGCCCCTGCCTTTCCTTGAGCACCTGTACACATCAGCTACCTCGCCATCTGTCCCCAGAGCCCTACAGACTCCTCAAAGCCCAAATTTCCATGGGTCCATTGCCAAGCCGCTCCTGCCCCAGCCTTGCCCACCTCAGAGAGTGTCCCACTGTCCTCCCAGGATCTCTGCTTGGAGTCCTCTCTGACCCCTGAAAGACCCCAACACCCAACCAATGGCTTCCTAAATGTCCTTCCCCCAACCCCCATCCCCACGCCCCACTCTGCCCTGCCATTGCCTGGAAAACACTAGACCACTCTCCACATAGCAGATCAAACCTGCCCCAACACTTCAAAAACCTTCTGTGGCTCTGCTGTGGCCCCTGGGTAAACCACAGCACCCCAAGGCAGCCTCACAGCCCTGCCACACCTGCCCCTGCCACCCCTGGCCCCTTTGAAGCTTCTCACCTCTCCCCACCGCCCCTAGGGCCTTGGCTCTGCTCACAGGGCGTTGACTTTGCCACTGTCTTTCTAGAAGCTCTTCCTTGCCCATCTGCCTGCCTGTCTGTCTTCACACTGATGCTTTTGCTTGGCTCATCCAGCCCCTCTTCAGGACTCAATGGAAACATCACCTCTTCAGGGACTCCACTCTCTGACTAGAGGAGGAGGAACACTCCCATCTGCTCCCAGAGCTCTGAACATTCAGAAAACCTAGAATTGCTTGTCAGGGTCTGCATGGCTTTCCCAGGGCAGAGGCCACCTGTCCTGATGACCATGGGGCCTCATCCCCTGGCACAGGACCTGTCCCAGAGTGGGGGCTTAACCAGTATTGAAGTAATGGAGTCAGAGATTCTGGATATCGCTTAAGCTGGGAATCAGGGGTTTTTGAGAGAAGAGTAGATTAAGGTAAACTAAGGCAGTGTGGGAGCAGAGGGGTGGAGAAGGAGCTGCAGAATTAGGCTCTGAGATCTGTGGAAGGCCTGGGGAGGCAGAGGCAGGTAGTGGACTAGAGGACCCTCAAACCCTGGTGAGTAGAGTGGTCCTAAGGGAGAGACTGCCACCTGGGCTGAAGCCAGGTCTTTTAGTGCCTGTCTTCATCTGTCCTGCCATCTGGCTAGTTCTGGGCTAGATCTAGCTGTCCTGGAGCAGCCATCTTTGAAGCCTGGAGTTGGGGGAAGGGAAAGGAAGCAATGTCGTATGCCCGCAGAGTGACGAGGACATCTGTGTACGTCGCAGTGCTCTGGAATATTATCTCCCTTCATCCTTGCAACCAACTCAGTGAGGCAGGTTTTATCATCATACCCATTTTACAGAGGAAAAAATAAGGCCCAGAGAGCTTACACAGCACAGCCAGGATTGGGCTGGGCTCTGTGGTGGGGGTGCACCTGGCAGCAGGGGCTCCCCTCCCATTGTCCTCAGGCTTCCACTCCCAGGCCACGGTAACCAGGAAACCAGGACTCTCCCCGCTTGGGCAGGTGGAAGCAGGTTCTGGGCATTATCTCCAGTGAGTGACTTCGGGCTTCCCTGCTGGGCTGTGGTTTCTGCATCTGGCAAAGATTGCTTGAGATGGCAAGGAGGAAAGGGCCTTGGGAATTATAAAGGACAACACAGATGTTTGTGTGTGTGCGTGTGTGGGGGGCTCTGCTTTCTGGTTTATATCTGCCCCTTGCATCCTTCCACTGTATAATTCACCATTCCAAAATGTACCGTCGTCGTCCATCCAGCCCTGTTTTTGTCCATGCTTTTTGCCAGGGTACCTGCTGCCTTACCTCCCAGATCCACCCAAAGAACTCCTCCCCTCCTCCTTCAAGATCCGTTTGGTGTCCTTGGTGCATCACGAGTGTTTTGTTATTGTTTTCTTATCCAGGAAGCTTTCCTGGACCATTCCACCTCTCTTAGACTTCATCTCCCTTCTAAAAGCCACCCCCGCTCTTTGCCGCTGTCCAGTACTGTGGTGCTGACCGCAGTCTGTTCAAATGCTCATGTGGCTTTTCCGCCCCTCTTAGCTAGGGCCTGTTTTATTTACTGACTCACTTACCCCTGTCACATAGCATAGGGCCTGGAACACAGTAGGCACTGTTTGATGGAATTAATTGAGATTTCTTTATTCTTGCCAGGATAGGGACTTCTGGGTAAGGATCATTCTAGCACCTGTGCCTAAGTGTTCCCAGGGTCTCAGGATGGAAGAAGTTCACCTGGGGTAGGGGGAGGTTGAGAGGGAAGGAAGAAGGAGGCTTCAGATTGGATGCCAACTCTTGTTGTTTCCTGCCCAGTTTTCCAAGGAGAAGTACATCCTGGACTCATCACCTGAGAAACTGCACAAGGAGTTGGAAGAAGAACTCAAACTCAGCAGCACAGATCTCCGCAGCCACGCCTGGTATCATGGCCGCATCCCCCGTGAGGTGAGTGGGCCCTGAGCTGGGATCTCAGCTCTAGACCCTTCCACCCACCACTCGGCCAGCCCCAGCCCAGAGACGCTCTGATCTATTGCTTGGTGGGTTTAATCAGAGTGGAAGACTGGGATGCGGTCTAGCTCTGCCATTTACTGACTGTGCGACCTTGAACAAGTCACTTCACCTCTCTGAGCTTCAGTTTCCTCATCTATAAAATGGAAGATAATAATAGTACCTAACTCAAAGGGCTGTTGTGAGAATTAAGTGAAATAATTCACGTAAAGTGCTCAACATGATGTCTGACATGCAGTGAGCTCAAGGAACATTGTCCTTCGTTGTTGTTATTGCCTTTTTTTGATTTTTGATTTTTTTTGAGTTTTGTTATGGGACTATACACCAGCCTCCTGTGTGTTTAGTTAGTGAGTATCAATCCTTAGGCTACTCAGTTTCGGCAAAGTTGAGTTTCCAGGCTGAGGCTCAGACTTGGGCTGATAGTCACCTGTTTCCTTTTTCATTCATGCTATAAATCTTTGTCAAGTATCAACTCTGCCAGACCCTGTGCTGGGCACCAAGGACGCAGAGATAAAATAGGTGGTGGTGAGCTGACAGGCAGGCAGGCAGTCCGAGCCCAGTGGGAGAAGTGCAAGAATGGAGTGCCAGCAGGGAATGTGGGCAAGCCCTGAACAGGCAGCGCTGAGCAGAGGGGCCATTGTGAGACTGACAGGAGTTCACCGGCTGGGTAGGGTAGGCAGGATGTTCCAGGCAGAGAAAGCAGCTCGAGGGTACCCAGAGATGTGCCGGAGTGCTGGGTGTTTGGAAGAGCGAGGATTGGAAATTCACTCTGCCCAACATGAGCCCGGAGAAGGAGTAGGTCTGAGAACTGAGTTTCAGATCATGGGGACCACAGTTCCCCAGACCCTGTGTCCCTGTGATTTCCACTCCAGGGTATCATGTCCTGCCATTCCTGAGCCTCTGTGCCCCAGGCAGGGCCTCTGGTTGAGTTACCCGCTCCACACCTGGGTCATTGTGTCCCTCTTCCCAAGCTTCTGCTATCTCTGGTTTTTTTTTTTGTTGTTGTTGTTTTTTTATTGGGGGATGGGAACAGTGCCAGGGAATTGGGGTAAGGGGAGCAGACAAGTTGCTGTCCTTTTGTTCTTCAGTCTAGTTGTGGAGGATGTTGCTTCACTGGCCCAAGTTGGCACCATCATTGCGCTCTTCCCGGGCGAGGCAGATCAGTCGCCGGCTTCTGGACGGCCGCTCACTGCGGCTGCTGGCCACTCATGCTGGCTGCTGGCTACACACGGTAGCCCATGGCAACCCACTGCAGCAGGGGCTGCAGCCTACGCCGTCGCCGGCGACTCCCGGCAGCCCAGCTCCAGGTTGAGCTGTTGTTCATCATCTTAGCTGTAGAGGGCAGTGTCACTGGCTCTCATATGTGGGATCCGAACCGGGGCCCTCTGGCATCCCAAGTCAGTTCTTAACCATCGCACCACTCAGCCGGCCCCTGATATCTCTGTTTACTGGGTCCCCCAAGATCCTAAGTGTGGCCCCTGCCCTGCCATGCCTGGCCCTGCCCTGCCATGCCTGGCCCTACCCTGCCTGACCATTGCCTCCTGCAGGTCTCAGAGACCCTGGTGCAGCGCAACGGTGACTTCCTCATCCGGGACTCACTCACTAGCCTGGGTGACTACGTGCTCACATGCCGGTGGCGCAACCAGGCCTTGCACTTTAAGATCAACAAGGTGGTGGTGAAGGCGGGCGAGAGCTACACCCACATCCAGTACCTGTTTGAGCAGGAAAGCTTCGACCACGTGCCCGCCCTCGTGCGGTACCATGTGGGCAGCCGCAAGGCTGTATCGGAACAGAGTGGCGCCATCATCTATTGCCCTGTCAACCGCACCTTCCCACTGCGCTACCTGGAAGCCTGCTATGGCCTGGGTCAGGGCAGTGGCAAGGCCGCCAGCCCTGCCAGCCCCTCGGGCCCCAAGGGCAGCCATATGAAGCGGCGCAGTGTCACCATGACTGATGGGCTCACGGCTGACAAGGTCACCCGTAGTGATGGCTGCCCCACCAGGTAAGCAAGGATCCCAAACTTGGCCTCAATCTCCCCATTTGTCAAGTGGGAATGTCCGTAATGAGAGTAAGGGGAGGCCCAGTCACACTGAACTGAGGTGAAATGGCTGCCCTGGAGCCTCAGTATGGCGGGAACAGGAGGAAGGTCAGGCTGTACTGGCGAGGCTGCACAGGGCTTGTAGGCAGTCGGACCCAGGTTGCAGTCCCAGCTCTGCTACGACTAGCTGTGTGCCCTTGACCCCCCTGCCGCTCCTTCTCTTACCTCCATGCTTCTACCTATAAAAGGCCTTCACTCAGATAGCCCCCTCTGGCCCAGGGGGTGCCCTGGGTACTATCCTGTCCCAAGCAGGGGGCCTGGTTCCTGCTGCTGGTGCTACCCCTCCCCACCCCACCTAGCTAGGCCAAGGTGGGATCTGAGCAGAGGGCTTTGCCGTGTGCAAACCACCACACAGGGAATAGGATGTTCTTAGTGACATTTTGCCTCTGGGGTTGGGTGAGGCCAGGCCCTGATCCCGGGAAAAGCCACAGCAGCAAATTATTCCTGAGGCCCTACTATGCACCTAGCCCTGTACTGAGTGCTCTCTGTGCCCAATCTCATCAACTCCCACGTCCCCCTGGGCAATGGCTCCTGTCTATACCCACTTTATAGATGAGAAAATAGGCCTAGAGAGAGAAAGCTGCTTGCTAGAGTGGTAAGACTGAAATTCGAACCCAGGTCTGTGACTCCCAAGTCGGTGTCCCTAATTTCTATGGCTTCCCTGGCTGTTTGCAAAGAGACCTGCGATTCTGTGCCACTAACACTTAGATAGGTCTCATCTCCCTGGGCCTGGACTGGGTGCTGTCAGCCAAGGAATTAATAGTTGGATACCCTGCGGGCAGCAGCCACTTGGTCTGTGGTTTGGAACCAGTGACAGTAATGGTGCCAGGATACACAGGCCATGTGTGCCCCAGGCATCCTGAGCACAGTACGGGAGCAGTGAGGAGGGGCCAAATTGGCAGGCCTGGCTTCCTGGGGCTTCTCACACTTCCTGCTAGCCCCATTCCCCAGACAGTTCTCCAAGTTGGGGGCAAGGTTCCCAGAAGAGAGCAGTTGTACAGGTTGTGGACTGCACAAGCCCGTCCTCCTCTGGGCTGTAGTTTTTGTGGCTGTCAATTGGGAGGTTGGACTTGATAATCACCAAGCCTTTTCTGCCTGAAGTTCAGTGGATCTAGAATGAAAGCAGAGGTGGGGATCCTAAGGCTGGCTGAGGACCCCAACCTCTGGTTTTCTGCTCATGAAGGCATCTGCTCCACAGCACATCACTGCCCCACCCACGGGAATCCATCCGCAACTGTGCCCTCAGCATGGACCAGATCCCAGACCTGCACTCGCCCATGTCCCCCATCTCTGAGAGCCCCAGCTCCCCTGCCTACAGTACCGGTATGGCCAGGAGAGGGGATATGGGCAGGTGGGGGAATCTGGTGGCAATGACCTTGTGTGTGCATGTGCTTTTGATGAGTTTTGTTAGAGTGTGTGATTATGTGTGTTTTTACCTCTTTCCTGAGAGCGAGGCCCTTCAAGAATTTACACTAAAAACCTGCTAGTGGAACTCTTGATGTTGACATACCAAACAGATCCATGGCTTGTTCATTTGGCAGCAATTTATTGAACCCCTGCTGGGTACCAGACACTGTGCATGAAGTAGTTTCCAGTGCTTTACATTAGTTTCCAGAATGCAGTGAAGTCTGCTAGAGGCTCACTGTGTTACTGAACCTGGGCTCAAAGGCTGTGCAGTGCACTTGCACAGCAACACAGCCCCACTGATCATGCTCCTATTGCATGTAGAGTACACGTAGGGTGCTTTGCTGGGCCCTGCATTGACTGGGACTTAATGGAGCCCCGATTCCAAATGGCTAGCTCAAACCAAGTTAGCCATGCTATGCTTTTTTTTTTTCTTTTAAAAGGACTTTATCTTTCAGAGCAGTTTTAGGTTCACAGCAGCTTAGGGTGGGAGCGTGTGAACTCCTGGGGGCCAGTGATTTCAGAGCATTACTGAGGGCTTGTCAGTTTGCTAGAGTCTGCTGGGCTTGGCTTGGGTGTGGGGAGGCAGGGTTGTCATCTGTAGGGTGCATGGAACCTGTCCTTTGGGAAGGGGGTAGGGGAACCTCCCTGGGTGGGAGCCATGGTAACCAATCCTCTCCCTCAATCTCCCTGCAGTGACCCGTGTTCACGCCACCCCTGCAGCGCCCTCAGCCACAACGCTGCCCACCTCCCCTGTCACCCGCCGCTCCAGTGAACCCCAGTTGTGTCCTGGAAGTGCCCCCAAGGCCCCTGGGGAGTCGGACAAGGGCTCTTATGCCAGCCCCTCCCACACCCTCTGCAAGGCCTCCCCATCACCATCGCTCAGCAGCTACAGTGACCCGGATTCTGGCCATTACTGCCAGCTCCAGCCTCCCGTCCATGGCAGCCGTGAGTGGGCAGCATCTGAGGCCTCCAGCCGGCAGGCCAAGAGCTATGGGGAAAGGCTAAAGGAACTGTCAGAAAATGGAGCCCCTGATGGGGACTGGGGCAAGGCCTTCACAGTCCCCATTGTGGAATCCACCTCTTCCTTCAACCCAGTCACCTTCCAGTCACTACTGATTCCCAAGGATAACCGGCCACTGGAAGTGGGCCTCCTGCGCAAGGTCAAGGAGCTGCTGGCAGAAGTGGATGCCCGGACGCTGGCCCGGCATGTCACCAAGGTTGACTGCCTGGTAGGTGCTGGGTGCACACTGGGTGCAAAATCCAGGGAACAGGGATCAGGGTGGTGAAGAGCTGGTCCCTAAATTCTCCAAGTATAGCCAGTGGGCCTAGATTCTGGCTTCATGGCTGCCCTTTACTTGCTGCGTGACTGGGCTGATCACTTTGCCTCTCTGGGCCTCCATTTTCTCCTTTTAAAAAAGTAAAAACCAAGATATTCTTGCTTCCTCCAGCTGTCAGTTTGGCACTGGAACTGGGCAGTCCTGAAACCCAGTGGTGCCTGGCTTCCTGGGGCACTTTTTGAGCCTGGTCCAGGGAATGGAAAAAGACCCGACTCCCCGCCCCCACACCCCCTGGTGGACAAAATAAGCAAAACTCATTACCTGGGCCCATTAATTGTCAACGCCCCGGGTGTTTGTTTTGAATGAATCTCTACCCATCTGAAGACCCCTCACTTTTTCCCTCTGAAGTTTGGAGGGCACTGATTACTTGGTCGCACTGGTCTCCGAACTCAGAAATCAAGAAAAGAGCCAGTTGCAGAGATGTTGCTCTGTGAAGAGCACTAAGGCGTAAAGGGAGCAGCCCTGGGTTCTAGGCCCGGTGTGTGACCTTGGACAAGCCCTTTCTCTCTCTGGGACTTAGGCTTGCCTTCTGGAATAAGGTAGTCCTGGTACTTAACCTTAACTGAATATTTAGCCTGTCACACACCTCTGGGCATTTTTACATTTATCCCCCATTTTACAAATGAGGAAAATTAAGCTCATTTGCTCCATGTCAGAGGGTTAGCAGGAGAGCTGGAATTCAAACCCGGCCTCCCAGCCGGGCTGCCCTCCTAGGTAAAGTTCTCTGGCTCCCAGATGGCTTGGGTCAGCCACGACAGGAAATTAATCAGCCCTCTGGGCGTCCTTGCAGGTTGCTAGGATACTGGGCGTTACTAAGGAGATGCAGACCCTAATGGGAGTCCGCTGGGGCACAGAGCTGCTCACCCTCCCCCATGGCCGGCAGCTACGACAAGACCTGCTGGAAAGGTAAGGCAAGCATTGGCGCAAAGAGACTCGCGGGGAACCCCCGGGCTACCTCGCTGTTCTTTTGCTGTGGCCGGCTGGCCAGTCAGTCTCCCAGGGACCCTGGCCGCGGCTCCCAGGAGTCCTGGCCACGCCCCCTGTCCTATTGACCAATCGCAACTTGTGATCCTGCTACATGCAATTCTGGTTTCCCAAAACTTGAGTCCATCTCTGCACTCGTACCTTGGCATCCTCTTGACTAATCACAGTGCATGAGCCTTGGCCCCGCCCATCAGCTCTGCTGCTTTTTCTGAATTCCTCTGACCGTTCACAAGCCTGGCGCTCAAGGCCCCACCCCTTATTTATATTGACTAATCTGCTTTCCCTTACTCTGGTCGCTTTCCCTAATCTCATTAACCCTTTACAATATCACAGTTCCGCTCTGCTCTCCACCCCTCCGTGCCAAACCACAGGGCAGCGCAGGGCCCCTCCCCCCTATTCTGGGTCCTTGGCCCCACCCCTCAGACCTGGCCTCTCTGACAGGTTCCATACCATGTCCATCATGCTGTCCGTGGACATCCTGGGCTGCACCGGTTCTGCTGAGGAGCGGGCAGCGCTTCTGCACAAGACCATTCAACTGGCAGCCGAGCTTCGGGGGACCATGGGCAACATGTTTAGCTTTGCTGCGGTCATGAGCGCCCTGGATATGGCCCAGGTACTGAGGGGCACACGCCGGGCAGGGCATCACGTAGACTCCGTACAGAAGAGCCCTGGGATGCGTTCCTTTGGGATAGCTATGTGCTGGTTCAGGAAGAACTCTGTGACTTTCTCAGCAGCATTGGTGAAAGGGCAACTAGAAGAGCTGAGTTCTCTAAGTGCTGACCTGCTCTGAGACCAAGTCTTTCCTCTTGGGCCTCAGTTTCCCTACCTGCAAAGCGAATGAGTATTATAGGAGTATAAAGAATAAATATAAAATGGCTATCATTTAGTGAACGCTTACTGTATGCTAAGTGATACACTAAGTACTTTGCAAGCACTGGTTCTTCAAAACAATCTTATGAGGTAAATGTCTTTATTGTCCCTGTTTTACTTATAGAGAAATTGAGGCAGAGAGCTGTACTTGCCTAAGGTCACACAGTCAGAGGCTGAAAAAGTTGGGATTAGAACTAGATCTAATTTCAGAGCCCAAACCTCACCCACACTACACTTCCTTTCCTATGCCTAGTAAATAGTAACCACAGAGTCCCAAAGTCAGTGGTTCAACTCCCATCTCTGCCGCTTATTTTGGGAATGACTTTGGGTAAGTCATTCCCCTCTCTGAGCCTTAGTTTCTTCATCTGTAAAATGGGTTGTTGTGAGGGCTTCATGAGAGATGTTTGAAAAGCAGTCAGTCAGCAATGTCTCTGATACATGCATGGTGACCATAATAATTATTACCCCACACCTGGGTGTCGACTCAGCAAGGTGGCCTGTGGCTCCTGCTGGCCCCTTTCCTGGCTGGTTGCTCACAGTCTGGTCTCCCCAGATTGCCCGGCTGGAGCAGACATGGATGACCCTGCGGCAGCGACACACAGAGGGTGCCATCCTCTATGAGAAGAAGCTCAAGCCATTTCTCAAGAGCCTCAACGAGGGCACAGGTACCTCCCCTACCTTGCTGTGTGACCTTGCACAGGTTCCAACCCTCTCTGGAGCAGCAAAGACTTCCCCGGTGTGGATGATGAGAGCTTGACTGAGCTCCATGCAAGCCATTCTCCTTGTACTCACTCTGTACCTGGCAGCTGTGTAAGCCATGCCCAGGTCCAGGCTTGGCCTTTCGGGCTAGGCCAAGGCTGCTTTGGGTTCAGCTGAAAGGGAGGGTCTATCCCAGGAATCAGGAGCCCTGGGGGTTTTCTGGGACCTAGGGAAGCCCTCTCCCCTCCAGCATCTCAGTTTCTGGGACTGCAGTAGACAAGGGGGCCCTCCAGGTTCTCTAAGCGTCTGCTGTCTCCCTCCCTGCAGAAGGCCCCCCACTGAGCAACACCACATTTCCTCATGTACTGCCCCTCATCACTCTCCTGGAGTGTGACACGGCCCCGGCTGAGGGCCCCGAACCTTGGGGCAGCACGGAGCATGGCGTGGAGGTGGTGCTGGCTCACCTGGAGGCTGCCCGCATGGTGGCACACCACGGAGGCCTGTACCACACCAATGCTGAGGTCAAGCTTCAGGGTGAGTTATTGATTGTACGTGGGGAGCAAGATGGTCATTGGTCCCATGGGCCTGGGCCTCCCTCCCACATACCTTGCTCTCCCCTTTCCTCCACATGTCTATTCCCATATCTCCACCCCTTTCCTGCCCTGTCTTCTTGACTCATTTTTCTGATCCATTTTCTTCCTCACTCATCAGTTCAACAAGCGATTGTTAGTGGCAGACACCAGGTGGACACAGAGATAATTCAAAAAGCAGTATAGCTGTGTATTTTATCTTCTCTGAACCTCAGTTTTCTCATCTGTGAAGTGGACATCCTAACAGGTCTACTTTACAAGTTGTTTGCAAAGGGCTTGGCCTGGGACCCTGGGGCTGAGATAGACCTGCCCTGCCTTCCAGGAGCTCTCAGTCTAGTCGACAGGTAGCACTCCCTCTCTTGAAAGGAGCAGAGAGAAATGGCTTCAAACAATCCATCTTTTACTGCTTTAGACATTATTTAAGTCATAAAAGTTTACTGTAGACAAATCAGAAGTTATAGCTGAGTAAAGACAAGATTTAAAAAATCAAGGGCCGGCCAAGTGGCTCAGTTGGTTAAGAATGCACTCAAGAGTATGAGCTCTGAGCAACAAACGGTTCGATCCCTGGCCCGAGCTGAGCTGCTGCTGAGCTGCCAACAGATGGCAGGATGGCTCAGCTATTAAAAAAAAAAAAAATCACCCACAGTGACCTGGAGGTGAATGCTATGAGCATTCTGGTGTGTCTTTCCTGACTTTCTTTTTCAGAAAGAAAAAAAATTTTTTTGCATTGACCTTCGAAATGTATATGTTTCTTAGGAAAAAATTTAAGCTTACATAAAAATACAAAAAGAAAAAGAAAAATCACTCAAGATCCCCCCAAATTAACATTTTAATCTTCTAGTCATTTATAATTATGTGTTGTGAATAGTAGCGCAAAGACTAGGTGCTAAACTGGGTGGTCCTATCCATCAACAACCCTGTCAAATGCCTGGCAGAGCTGGGGGGAGGTACCCCTTGGAGTGGGGCCTGAGGGATGTGGGGGCTCAGGGGCACGAGCCCCAGCCTCCCCAGCTGGATGTTGGACCCTGTGCCCCGCCCTGCAGGGTTTCAGGCCCAGCCCGAGCTCCTGGAGGTGTTCAGCACTGAGTTCCAGATGCGCCTCCTCTGGGGCAGCCAAGGTGCCAGCAGCAGCCAGGCCCGGCGCTACGAGAAGTTCGACAAGGTTCTCACCGCCCTGTCCCACAAACTGGAACCTGCCATTCGCTCCAGCGAGCTGTGACCCCCACGGACCACTCCCCTCTGCGCTGCAGGCAGCAATGGGGACAGAGGGGCACAGACCTTTCCCCAGAGCACCCCAGGGACACTGTGATCAGCCCAAGAATGTTCTGGGCTCAACGCCAGGATCTCCCTTGCCCCTCCAGGGTCCTGTGTGGACTCTGGGCCTCGTCTCACCTGCTACATGCTCACCAAGTCTCCCTTCAGGGAGAACTGGAACCCCTGTTCCTCCCTCCAGCTTCTGCGTCTCCCCTCCCTGCTGAGGTGCACTGTGTTCGAGCCATGGGAGGCTCCTCATGTCTCCTCAGTCTTCTTCAGGCATCTACTCCCCGCCGACACCAAGGCCTCCATCTGGCTGTAAATAAGTCTGTCTGTTCTGTAAATAGATGTACAGAGCCATGCTCTTTCTTTCATATAATAAACTTTTATGACTTTCTTCTGTCTCGCAGGGGCTCTGGTTGGGGGAAGGAAGCATCTTTTCTCAGGTGAAAGGTGGAAAAACTCATTCAACAAATACTTATTTAGCACCTGGAACATTCCAGATTGTACAGCCAATACAAAAACCCAGTCCCTGTCCTGGAGGAGCTCACAGCCAGTGGGGGATGGAAACAGCCAATTCCAACTAGAGAGAGAAACACTGGCCTGCCCCACTCTGCCCCATCCCCTGCCCCGGGAAGCCACAGCAAATTCCTACAAACTCACAGCCAAGGATCCCAGATATTTGGGATGAAAGGGCTTTTGACCTCTAGGATTCCACTTCCCTCTGGAAAACTGAAAACTGGGGTGGGGGAGTCACAGCAGCAGAATGAGGAAGTCTGGAACCTGGGCATTCTGAGCTGGAGTTCTTTCCTTCTCTCTCCTCAGTAGTGGGAACTACTCATTTATTTTTGGGCTTTGACCAGAGCCTGAAGTCGTGTGTGTGTGTGGGGGGTGGGGTGGGGGGGGCAGGGAATCTTTGAAAAGGGGTATAAAGGCCGTTGTCTTGATTCCGTAGGTGAGAGAGGTAGGCAAGGTGGAGCAACACGATTCCAGGCCAAGCTGGAGGCCTGGGGAGCCCGTTCACTGAATTTGAAACGTCTGGGGTCCTTTGCCTTCTGAATCCTTTCACTAAGAGAGGCTGAGTAACATAGTGCATTAGATCTTTGGTGGCAGCCAGACTTGGGTTCAGTTCTATTGTTTACTAGCTGGGTAACCTTGGATATGAGGCTTAACCCCTTGGGTCCCAATTTCCACTTCAATAAAATGGGACAATAACAATTGCTCTCTTAGGATTGCCGTTAAATCATTTAGTACATAGTAGCTGCTAGGTAATGGACCACCATGTTTTATGTCTAATGTATTATCAATGATCATTTATTGATTACTTTGAGCCAAAACACTTTATGTGCCTGTACCTCACTGGAATATCACCATTTCTCTGTATGACAGGTACTTTTATCCTATTATAAGATATCTAAGGCACCTAAAACTAATGGCACACAGTAGGGTCTTATCAAAAGCTATGAGTGAGCACGCTTTTATTAAAGAAAAAAGAGCATAAAAAAGGTACTTTTCATGGTATAAGGTGCCGCACAAGTTTTTGCTACAGTTGTTACGTCATCCTGTGGTTATAATCCTTTATTATTCTTTCGGAGCTACTATGACGGTCCCCTAGTTACCGTGACCATGGAAACGCGGCCCGCCCTGGATTGGACAGTTCGCGGGCTCCCCCTGGAGGCCACGTTCCCGTCCTGCTGCGGGATGACGGGGCGGGCCTTTGAAAGGGACAAGAGGGGAGCCGGGAGTTGTAGGCCACGGGAGGTGGTTCCCGAGGAGCGATGCACGCCGGGAGCTGTAGTTCTCGGGAGAGGCGGTTGGACGCTCCAGACCCCGCTCGGGCCTTACCCGGATGGCTGCTGCCACGCGTGGCTGCCGGCCCTGGCGCTCGCTCCTCCTCGGGCTGCTCGGGTTGGTCTCGGCAGCCGCCGCCGCCTGGGACCTAACTTCACTGCGCTGCAACTTCGGCACCTTCTGCGAATGTGACTTCCGGCCCGACTTCCAGGGTGAGGAGCCGCGGGAGCCCGCAGCGGAGGTGTCATCCACCAAGGAACCCACGGACTCTGGCGTTGCGCCGGGGCTGGACCTGGAGGGTAGAACCGAGGGGCAGAACCCCCAGACTTCCATACGGCCAGGGCCAGAAGTGGGCCTGGCGTTGAGGGACCCTGAGAGTCTGGGGCGAGGGTTTAAGGATGCCTGTTTGGGATCCAGGCAAAGCTTTTGACAGCGGGGCCTTGGCGGGAGGGTTTAGGCCTCCACAGTGGGCCGGCTGTCAAGGGAGAAGCCTGCCTTGAGGATGTGCAGTGGGGTCTGGGGCAGCTCGCACGCACTTAGGGCTGAGCGCAATTCAGGGGGCGGCCTGGTGTGGGCGCTGCCGTGCTGAATCAGGCCTCAGGGCCTGAAGGCGACTCCCGCAGCTGGAGACCTGGGCCCCACTCTTATTTCCACAGACATTTTATAAAAATGCCCCAGACCACAGGGATCCCGAGACCAGGTTCCAGACATCACTTTGCCCTTGAACCTCTTCCGTGGTGGGGTGTATCTTCAGCTCTGACGCTGTCCTTCTTGTGGCCCTAGGTCTGGAATGTGACCTGGCCCAGCACCTGGCGGGCCAGCACTTGGCCAGAGCGCTGGTGGTGAAGGCACTGAAGGCCTTCGTGCAGGACCCGGCCCCCACCAAGCCGCTGGTCCTCTCCCTGCACGGCTGGACAGGCACTGGCAAGTCCTATGTCAGCTCCCTGCTGGCGCACTACCTCTTCCGGGGTGGCCTGCGCAGCCCCCATGTGCACCACTATTCCCCTGTCATCCACTTTCCCCACCCCAGCCACATGGAGCGCTACAAGGTAGGCTGGTTGCATCCTGGACCATCAATTGCCTGCATCACGGGGTGCCATACCCTAGGGAGTGAGTCTGAAGCCCAGAGAGGGGGATTCACTTGCTTCAGGCCACACAGTCAGTTGGAGCCTCAGCCCTCAGAACCCATCCTGAACAGAGGCTGAGATGGTGCCATTTTACCTGGCAAAGAGTTCTCGCTTTAATTTCTGGGGTTGGGGGACAGTAATGGTACCTACCTGCCAGGTGAGGGACATGGGCTCATATAATTGCAGGTATTATTTATTGAGCACTTACCTTTGCCAGAGAGTCCGCATTATCCTTTCTCTGTGAAGCACTTAGCCGCAATTTGAGGCTCAGAGTAAGTACTCAGTAAATATCAGCTCTTACTGCTCTTATTGTTGTTGATTGCAAGGTGCTTTCCAGGCTGATCCTTTTCAGCTGTCAGCACTGCTGAGAAAGTTCATGGAGCAGGCAGGAGCCTTTCTCCTTTTCTAGAAAGCAGTAGGTGTCAGGGAAGGAGCCCTGGACAGGCAGGTGCCAGGCCTGGGTTTGAGTCCCTGTTCTTTTGCTGACCTGCTGTGTGATCTTGGATAAGTGTCTGCCCCTCTCAGGGCCAGTTTTACCCTCAGTCCCATTAAGGGATTGGTGCTCTTTGTGAGACCATATCTTCCTGGGAAGGGGATGAATTCTTGCCTTGGGAGGAAGTCTGGGGCTGGGAGAGTATCTCCAGTACCCCGCAGACTCCTGCCTCCCTCCTGCAGAAGGATCTTAAGAGCTGGGTCCAGGGGAACCTCACCGTTTGCGGGCGCTCCCTCTTCCTCTTTGATGAAGTGGACAAGCTGGCCCCAGGCCTGATGGAGGTCCTGCGACCTTTCCTGGGCTCCTCCTGGGTCGTGTATGGGACCAACTATCGCAAAGCCATCTTCATCTTCATCAGGTGAGGCCCAGCTGTGCAGCGGGCATAGTGCAGGGACATTTGTCAGAGGTCTCAGCAATCCAGTCTTAGCCTGTGGTCCCCCTGGGCCCAATCGGGCTTTCCTAAAGCCTCCCACAGTCTCACTGGTGCCACTGTCATTCAAGGTGGCTGGCTTCCCCTTTGACAATCTCAGAGTTCATTCTGGGCTCAGTCTTTCGGATCCTCATCGTTTCTTTGCAGAAGCCCTGCTGGGTCAAGATTTTTCCCTCTTGGGACACAGGCCTGGGAAAAACAGGACTAGGGTTCTAATCCCACCTCTAAGAGTCCTTGCTGTTTCCTCAGGCAAATTACTTTACCTCTCTGAGCTCCCATATCCTCTTCTGAACAGCATTATCAATGCCCCACTGTCATCCTAGAAGTTGGGTGAGGGAAAGTTAGTTAAGGGACCCAAAATTGTAAATTATAAAGTGCATGGCACCTACCAGTGCATTTCCAGGGGTCATGGATGGGGACACAAGCTCTGGAGTGGGGAAATGGTTCCTGTGGAGTGTTGCCAGTGGGTTGGGCCCCTGCTAGCACTGAGCTGGGCCCCTAGGCTCAGGGTCTGTTAGGTGGCACGTGGGAAGCGAGGGCCAAATCCTACTTCCCACTGTCTGTCTGAGTCTCGGCCCGGGTCCACATGGTTTTAGCAACACTGGTGGCGAGCAGATCAACCAGGTGGCACTGGAAGCGTGGCGCAGCCACCGGGAACGCGAGGAGATCCACCTACTGGAGCTAGAACCAGTCATCTCCCGGGCTGTGCTGGACAACCCACAGCGTGAGTTTGGCTCAGGAGCCCCACCCTGGGGTGGCTTCAGCAGGCTGGGGCTTCACACCCAGATCCACTGACCTGGTACTTCCCAGCCCAAGCTTTGGTGCTCCTAGCTGTCATACAGCCTCTCCGAGCCCTTCTCCTGGAAGGTGACTAAGAGGGTTAAGACCAGCAATGCATCTGCACTGGCCTTTGGGGGCAGAGGCCCAGCTTCTGTGATGCACAGCCTCTTCTCTCCATTGCCTCTTTCTGCAGATGGTTTCTGGCGCTCGGGCATCATGGAAGAGCATCTTCTGGATGCCCTGGTTCCCTTCCTACCGCTCCAGCGGCACCATGTGCGGCACTGCGTGCTCAACGAGCTGGCCCAGCTGGGCCTGGAGCCAAGGGATGAGGTCATCCAGGCTGTGCTGGACAGCACCACCTACTTCCCGGAGGATGAGCAGCTCTTTTCCTCCAATGGCTGCAAGACTGTGGCTTCCCGTATTGCCTTCTTCCTCTGACTGTCCAGGTGGCATCTACCTCCTACACCTGGTCAGGCCATGCAGGAAAGCCCTGGGGCCTCTGCCAGAGGGATCCTTGTCCCAAGCCTCCTGGAGAGTGGGACCCAGAGCACACATCGAAGATGAGGAGTGTTGGCTAGGCCATGGGACAGAGGGCCAGGGCGGGCCCCGGCCTCTTAACTGATCTTAGGGCATCTTGGCCTTTGCTTCCTTCCTCAGGGGAAACGGCTGGTCACCCCAGAACTTCAGTGAGCCTTGACCTCGCCCTCCAGCCTGAGCCTTCTTCAAATGTGAATTGTAACTCAGGGACGATGGCTCGTGGCTGCTCCCTCCCTCCTTGGTCTTTTTACCTTGGCTCCTTGCCAAGGAGGCACCATACCTCAACCCTCCATCCCACGCCCTATGTCCCTCCCAGTGTTGGAAAGCCAAATGAGACTTCTCAGTCTCCATGAATGGACGGACTCAAGCTGCCACTTGGGCCTGGTTGTTGGTTTTTAATTTTGTAAAAGAGGAGAACAGATACAATAAACTTAGCCATGGGACCAGAGGAATGTTGGCCGAGGTTTCTAATTGCTGGGAGCCGGTGTGTACAAGGGTAGAATATCTCCCATCCCCAGCAAGACATGAGGGAGGGGCTCAGTGGCCCCTTCAGAGAGCAGTGTAACTGCTGGGGCTGGGGTTCTGCCTCAGGCCTTTGGGGACCTCAGTCTTGCTGGAACCTACCTACACTTGTGCTCTGGGTAGCCTCAGTGTTGCTGGGGCTCCCACCTGGGTCATAGAAAGTCTTGGTCTTGCTGGAACTTTGGATCAGTCCCCAGCTCTGGCCCTGAGTAGCAGCAGCCTTGCTGGGTCCCCAGCTCCGGCCATGAGCAACCTTGGCCTTTCTGAGCCTCTGCCTTGGGCCTTGGGTGGCCTTGGTCTTGTTGGGCTTTGACCTTGGGCCTTGGGTGGCCTTGGTCTTGCTGGGTCTCTGGCTCTGGTCCTGGGCAGCCTTGGTTTTTCTGGGGCTCCGGCCCACGCTTAGGTCTTCCTTGTTTTCTAAGTCTGAGGATTGAGTCTTCAGCAGTGAGGAATCGGAGAATGCCACAGTGGTGGCCGAGCTGCTTCTGTATTCCTGGCACATAGTGGACATCTCTGTCTCTGAGGTTGACGGGGTCCTGACTGGGGAGGGTGTGCCAAGAGCACCCATCAGGCCGCCTTCCCTAGGCAGCTCCAGGAAAAGGAGGCTGCTAGGCCTCATTCTTGCCTGTATCCCAGAGGCCTTGCATGGCCAAGGGGAGGGCCTGCCAGATCACGCCAGCCCAACCCTCCTCAGCAACCTGAACCCTGTAGGTGGGCCAGGGCTATATGTTAAGGGGGAGATCCTGAGGGTCCCACTTGCCCAGCTCTGGCCTCGACTCTGCTGGCTGCCCCTTGCCCTCTGCGTTCCAGCCACAACCAATAGCCTGCAGGGCCCTGGGGCCCCTGCTCCACCCCTCCCTCGTATGACTAACCCCTACTCTTCCTTCAGGTCCTGGAAACCCTCTCGGACCCCCCAAAGGGGCTAAATGCACCCACAGCCCTCCACTGTATGTCTACACTTTCCTGGTTATCTGTTTACCTGCATGCCTTCTTACCTTCAGGACCAAGAGCTCCCTGGGGCAGAAACAGGGCCGTTCATGCCTGTAACCAGCGTGTGGCAGAGGCCCGGCCCTGGGACTCGATGCACTGGTTGAATTGTACTGAATGGGAGGATGCGGCTGGCTGCCACTACTTTCATCCCTACCCTGGACTGCTCACACCTGCCCTGGGGACACTGTTTGGAGCAGCATTCCTGGGTGTTTCACTTTTGTCCCTTCCATGCTGGTGCCTAGCAGAATTGGGGGTAAAAGGCCCTTGGACATACATAAGGTTTGTGGGCTTCTTTCAGGGAGAGGCCAAGGCGGCAGAGAGAAAACAGGGCCTGAGAGGGGAGTGAGGCAGCAACTATGAAGAGCCTTGTAGTGAGAGCTGGCGTCCCAGTCCCTTTGCTGGCCATCACCTCACCGAGGGCTCAGCACACGCCGTGTAAAGTTGGGATTATACTCCCATTTCAGAGTCACACAGCAGAACCCACATTCATACCCAGGCCAGGGAGGTTCTGACCCCTGACCTTTGCCCACTCAGCTGCTTTGGCTCACTCAAGCCTGGCAGGAACACCGCAGACTTACAGCCCAAGATGGAGCCTGAAGAGGTCTGGTCGAGGTAGCCGTCGGACAGGGACCTCACCTTGCTGGGAGTGGGCTCCGGCTTCTCCTAGGGCAGGAGACAGGCTGGGCAGTCAGGTTGCACAAGGCCCTGGGCCAGTGGCTGTAGCTCTGGAAGGCCAGCAGGCCTTGGGACCTGCAGTGGCTGTTCTCCGGACTTAGCTCTTATCAAGGGTCCCAGGTTAGGGCTGCGTGGGACATCGAGAGGCTAAGACTGGACGGGAGGGGGGTGGCCAGCCTAGACAGGCATGCTGCTGTAAGAAAGGCAGTGTTCAAGAGGCTGCATGGGCCTCAGTTTCCCCATTTGCAAAATCTAAATTAGTCAGGTGTGGGACAGGCTTGTGTAAACCATAAAGTGCTGTATCCTAGGGCATGGCTAGCAAGGACTGGAGGAGCTTTTCCGTGCTTTACATGCCTTATCCCATTTCATCCCCACATGTCTGGAAGAGAGCTAGTGCTATTACCATTTCATGGACCAAGAAATCAAGGCTCTGAGCGCCTAAGCAGCTTGCCCAGGGCACTCAGCTAAGCTGAGAAGCTGGGCTTGAATCCGGATCCGCGGACTCCAAAGCCAGGCTCTCGGCTGCTCCTCTCCTCTGGCCCATTTACACCTGAGGGCAGTGGAGAACTTGGGGAAGGAGGTGGGGACCAGATGGGGAAGTGGGGACCGGCAGAGCTGCAAAGCGCTAACAGCGCTAATGCTAACGCACAGAAGCCAGCTCACAGTGACTTCAGGGGATCCTGACGGTCTGTATTTTTGTATTCTACTGTGAAGTAGAAAAATGTCCAGTTAGCCTTTTCTATTTACGGCAAAGGATGCTGGTATCCATCTTCCTGAGTTGTGGAAAGTGTCCTTTGAACACAAATTTACATGCCGTCCATCAGCAGCAGAGTGGATAAATTGTAGGATAGTCACAGGATGGAAATGAAAGGAGCAGAGACAAGAGGTCACACCAGCTCTGTCCCCTGAACAACAGGCACATCCCTCTGCAGTGTCAGCAATCAGAACAGCCTTGTGGGGTGGGCTGGGCTGAGGGAAGGGCCTAGAAGGGGCACCAGGGCTTTCTGGGGAGCTGGGAGTGTGTTCTTTCTTGATCTGGGTAATGGTGTCATGGGCGTATTCAGTTTGTGAAAATTCATCAAACAGTTCATGTATGATTTGTGTCCTTTTCTATATGTTACACTCAATAAAAGTTTTCAGAAATGAATTTATGAATTAAGAAAATCCTGGCCCAAGTGGCCAGTGCACACAGCAGCATTTATGAAGGTGAGGGTGGGCAAGGTTTGGGAAGGCCTCTCTGTGAGGGGCCCACATCCTCATGTGCCCCTTACTGGTACCATCCCCATCTCACAGCAAGATGTTCCTAGCCCAAGTCACAAAGCTGAGCGGTGGTAGAGCCAGGCCTAGAAGGCCCTGGCTCAGGGTACACTCCGCCCAGACCTCAAGACCCCAGGCTTCAGCGTGTGCTGCACTCACCTCCTCCCCAGGGCCCTTGGCCTCCTCTGGGTGTTCTGGCTCTGCCTGCTGGGTCTGGGGATTGGTGTCCAGCTTCTCTGAGGTCTCGAACAAAGGCTGTTCCAGCTTCCAGGAACGGTGCAGGGCCTGGGCTTTCTGGCGCTCCAGTTCCCGCTTCCTAAGCTGCCTGTCAAGCCATGGCCCAGAGCGCAGGGTAGGTCTCCCTGACTCACCCCACCATCCCCAGGACTGGACAGTGGCCTGAGGAGGCAGCTGGGACCAGAGGAGCCTTGAGCCCCAGCCATTCCCACTCTTGCCCTGAGGCCCCTGCTCGAGGAGCTTACCCCACGATGCCTCGAGGGATGCTGTTCTGCAGGCTCTTTTCCATTACTCGACTCAGCTGCGACCTGGCCAGGTAAGCCACCTGGCTGCTAAGCACCTTCTCCATTGACATGCCCGGGAAGAGGCTGGTTATCAGCGGGAGCAGCTGCCAGGAAAGGGGGCAACCAGAGCCAGGTGTGAGCCAGGACGGGGGGGCAGATGGTATGGTCTGCCCTGCCCTTGCAGAGTCCCTTCTCAGGGCTGAAGAGGGAAGGGCTTACAAATTGTTGGTTTTAAAGGACTGGACCCTTTTGCTTCAGAACTATCAGGAGATTACGAGAAAGGAACTATTCAGAGAGGGAGCCCCGATGGTGAGTCTAGCCATGGGTTCTGAAGCCAGAAAGATGAGGGTCTGACCTCTAAGCTGTGTGACCTGGGGCAAAGGAGCTGGCTTATCTGAGCCGTACCCCCTTCGTCTGTAAATTGGGGGGTTATAATAATGTTACCTGTCTTGTAGGGTGCTGAAGAGGATTAGACAGAGTGATGCAAGCTGAAGTGCTTAGGACAGTAGCTGGCTCATAGTAAATACTCCAGCACAAGCTGCTCTTATTATTTGCTAGGAAACCAAACTCCTTTTATGGACAGGGAGTATCTTTAGGTGGCCAGGGGTATTGACTCTGGAGCCCGCCCTGCTGGCCCAGCAGGAACCCACCTTTGGTTGGTTAGGGTTGAGGAGCAGGGCAGTGACAATGTCCTGGCGGGCCCCAAAAATGTTCTGCATGAGCTGCCGGCACCTGGCACGGTGCACGTAGTACTGGGCCCTCTGGGGATTGTGCTGGATGGCCATTGAGAAGTGGCTCTCTGCATTCTGGAACTGTCTGCAAGACACAGCGGGGCCACAGGCTGTTGTGAGCCAGGCCACCTGGGGGGAGGGGGGAATAGCAGCTTCTGGGCCCCAGGGGGAGTTTGGGGAGAACCAGGCTGGTCTGGGCTCCCCACCATCATGCCCCTCTGCTCTCCCAGCTATGATCTTGAAGGACCCAACACTCAAATGCTGGTATAAAATCCCAACATAAGTGGACATTTTTATGATCTTGGATTAGGGAAGGCCTTTCTGAGAATGTCATACCCTCCAGGTAAAAATGAAAAAATCCTGTTATTGAGTGGCAAAAACACCACAAAGGAAAGCAATAAATAGGAGAGATATATTTTGCTACATAAGACAGATGATAAGCTAATTTTCCTAGTCTACAAAGTACTCTTATAACAACAACAAAAAAAAATTTTTAATGAGCAATTTAATAGCAAAATGAGCAAAAGATTTGGGCAGGCCCTAATGGCCAATAAACACACAAAAGGTGCTCTACTGCACTAGCAATTTAAACATGCAAAATCAACTGCCTATTAGATTAGCAGAGTTGAAAAACAGTCTTAATACCCTCCATGAGGGAGGCTTGGGAAACCACGACTGTCTTCCTGGGAGAAGTTTATCATTGGCTCACTGTTTTTGGAGAACATTTGGATATTACCTTTTAAAAGGTTAACTTTTCATACTCTTTAACCCAACAATTTAACTTCCAGCCATCTAACCACAGTGTTACTAATATGAGTGCATGAAAATATGTGTTCTGGGTGCTCATTACTGCATTATTTATAATAATAAACTGAAAGCAGCCCAAATATTCATCACAGAGGACTGTCTAAAGAAATCAATCATGGTACCTGCATAGAATGGAATACTATGCAAACAGTAAAAAGAGAAAGAGGTAGCCCCATATGTAATGCCATGGGAAGTGAAAAAGCAAGTCAAAACAGTTTAGCATGATCTCACTTTTGTAAAATGATAATAATTGTTAATATATGCATAGGAAACAACCTTTACCAAACTTAGGGGAGTGGGGGAGGCGTTGGGAGGTAGATATTAGAAGGAACTTTCATGCTCTGAGCTATAAATTACTGAACACTTAAGTTTTTGTGTGTTTTTTTTTAATAAAAAGCACAATTACCACAATATTCAGGGGAAAAGGGTGAAGGAATTTTAGCGAAAACTTGGAAAATAAAAATCTATATTTAGAATACATAACTGGGAGAGCAGAGGCATCTTGACCCAGGGGTCCCAGCAGGCAGCTTCAGGCCAGATCGGGCCCCGCCCCT